TGCTAGTGTAATAATGGTAAAATTCAAGATTGCGTAATCTGAATAACATTAACAACATGGAATACGCCTTTCTTTGATGAAGAATAAATGGTTGGCAGTCAAAGATCATATAAATTATTCTTCACTTGATAAGAATTCATAAGTTAAACTTCAATATGAACCATGTAAGTTTCATCTCCCTCAGTGAATTACCATCATATTGTTCCTTCTGCTTCTAATCCTAGTGCTCAGGTGCATGGACTGTCTATATTCAGACTGTACTGCATGGCAACATCAAACATTACCATGCCATTGCTTCTACAAACACTATTTTGAATTCTCTATACTCTCCACTGGGAAAAATATTAGGTTGGGGTCAGAAGAGTCAATATTAGCTTAATTTATTCATTTAATAAATTCTGTCCAATATTAGCTGTTTTTTAAAAAATGAATGTATAACCCCTCTTCTAAAATTCACAATCCAGATGCTCTATTCAGTTTGGACTTTGGCTAATAAAACTCATAGCCTGGCCCTAAGATATGTCTCTTGTATTTGTTTATATTTTAGGGATCATGCTTATTTAAGGAGTAACTAATCCTTGCCCTTACCCTTGCTTTTCATTGTCTGATTCTAGATCTAAGCCCATCTTGACATTCTTTCAGTACTTTGGCCCTGGTTCTCCCATCTGAATTCCAAGGCCATGAATGAAAATATGCCAAACTGCCCTTTGTCTTAGTCCCAGTACATCTAAGTTTGTACTCACTGTGTAGTCCTTTCTTACTCTATAGCCATCCACCTTCATTAGGTGTGATTACTTCATACCTCAGTGATGGAAACATTCTTCTAAAATGAGTCTGTGATACTCCTCCCCAAATCCATTGTCTATATTGTTGCCAAATTAATAATCCTAAAAATACACTCATTGTGATACATTCCCTCGTGAAAAAACTTCACTGGCTCTATAATGCTTACAAAATGAAATTGATAGTCTTTAGTTCATAATTTTATGTCTTCATTCACAATCTTACTTATTTTTCCAGACTTTAGTTCTTTCCCTACACAGCTTTTTTCTTTAAATTTTATTTCTGAGAGAGAGAGAGAGAGAGAGAGAGAATGAGCAGGGGAGGGTCAGAGAGACAGGGAGATACAGAATCCGAAACAGGCTCCAGGCTCTGAGCTAGCTGTCAGCACAGAGCCCGATGTGGGGCTCGAACCTACGAACCATGAGATCATGACCTGAGCTGAAGCCGGACGCTCAACCGACTGAGCCACCCAGGCGCCCCTCCTTACACAGCTTTAACTCTCACTTTCTTGATGCTGCTGAATTATATGTTTTACTTTTTTATTTATTATATTCTTTCTTCTTGGAATATTCTCCCTCTCTAATTCACTTGTGGAAATCCTACTCATTTTCTTAGGTTTAATTAAATTATATTTCTTCTGTGAGATTTTCTTAATCATTTTTGTAGGACCTTATGTCCTGTAGCTAAACTTCTGTGGATATGTTTTACTTATTTGGCACTCACAGATATTACTGTAGCTATCTTGAAACATAGCATATCTACTCAAGCAGATAGCAAAACCTGAACAAAAGAAATTGTTTCTTATATATCATGTATATCAGAGGTTGAGTATAATAGATACATGAAAAGTATTTTTTAATGAAAAGTAATGGCAAATACATCCAAACAAGATACCTCCATGAGATAGTGAACAATAAATTAATGATAATCATTCTTAAGGTATGAGGGTTGAAATTCATTGGTCTTTAAGACCATTTCCAAGGTACTCATATAATCTCAGTAGGGTTTTATTTAACTTTCAAAACTAATTCCAAGTAGCATACTATAACATTTAAATAGAGTTCACAAAAAGGGCAGAAGCAACTGTGTGACCTTTTTTTTTTTTTTTTTAGCATCTTGGGTTTTAAATTTATTGTTTCATCAAACAGTATTTCCAAGGTGGGAAAAAGTGCCTTTAGTTTGGTAAAAGCTAACACTAAGTTTTAACTTTTTTTTTTTTTTGCTATTTAAAAAAA